CAAGGTCTATGATATAGGAATTACCAGATTTCTTCCCACACACATTTTTCTTTCTAAGAAAACAACCAGCATATCCCGTTGTATCAAATCAAGTTAAGGGTTTAGCTGGTATATGCAGAAAATTAGGGAAGGGAGTGACTGTGACCTTCTTTGTTTTCATTCTTACATCCTCTGCTCTGAGTATTTTCTTTTGTCAGATTAATTCAGTCTTTGAAGACTTCACTGTTGACCTCAGGGCACGTAAGGCATGTCAGCATGGATGAAATAGACTCGAACCCCCAAAAATGTACCTGAAACATAACATTTACTTTTACAATCATTAGCTCATTCAAAAATATGACAGGAGAAATACAAAAAAATCTGTATTGCTCAAAACATTGTACAAGGCAACCTGCAGACTGTGTATTTATCTGCTTTTGAAAAGGAGTGTATGAGGGCTTAACATTCAATTACCACTTATCTAAATCTGTACAAATTTCTATCAAAAGGTTACAGTGAATATCAGCTGATACATATTGTGATACAAGTAAGGATATAGAAAAGATAAACATTTGTAAAAGTAAAGACTGAAATTAAAATCTATCATTAACTGATTGCAAATCAGAAGCCCATGTAACTTGTAACAAAACAATTTGTGGCAAAGATTTGTCACAAACACAGCTGTTTCATGCATAGCACCAAAATCAAAAGACATCCTTTTCTTTGTGCCCAAAGAGCTCACTCACCCCTCCCTCCCTGTTTGGTTTTTTTTTTAAAGAAAAATAAGTTAACTGTGAAGGCAAAAGATGACAACAGTAGATAAAGAGATTGTTGTACCTACCTCAGCTACGCCTACAGTAATTCCTCTCATTTACCTGTGGCATTACCTGCATACAACTGATGAGCCCATCTGTCTCCAAGCCAGCAACGCCTCCAATCTGGTGAGCAGCCATTTGTCAAAACTTTCCCCAGGGTTGGAGACCTGCCTTTTTCCTGCCCTTATCAACTACCCATTATTGCCACTTTTATGACTGCTCAGCCGAGGCAGTGATAAATAAGACCTTGCCCTGCTCGGAGTTTTTCCCTGAACAAAAAAAGCCCTCTCTAGCAGACAAACCTGCTGCTGGGAATCTTGATGGGCACAGAAACACCTCTGCAGTAATGTGACCATATTCAGCATTGAGTGGCCCTGAAATCAGAAAAGGTTTTTCCTGTCTCTGTTTCTCAACAGGCTGCTGCAGCCCCACATCCACACCCTTCCCTGATTATAGGGAACCCCACCGCCTCGCCACCCCCTGCTTCAAGTCAGAGAAAGGTGTAACAATTTGGTTGCAAAGGAAAACAGGTATGTAGCTGTTTGGGCGTTATTATCTATAGTAATATGGAAAGATATCACCCAAGAAAATAAGAGAAAAGAGAGAAAGAAAGAGAGAAAAGACTAAGAGTTAAAATGTGTAAGGGAAAAGACAGAAAGAAAGAGAGAGGAAAAGTAAGAGTTTATAGTCACCACCCAGAGGTCTCTGATGTGCTTGGTTATTGTCACTGTCATTGCTGGTGTCTTGGTCTACCATGGAGTGGTGGGGAAAAGAAGCCCATGAAACGTGAAGTCCGATGGGTTTATACACCTTCAGAAGCCCTCCTGGTGCCTCCCCTGTGTGTGTGGGGAGGTGCTGTTTTTGCACAGTCATTCTGTTTTTCAGAGGCTGGAAGTGATGGCTTTTGTAGAGTCATTTAGGCTTGGGAACAGGGGCGCTTTGGAGGCACCCCTGCTACAAGTGAGACCTTCTCAGGGCGGCAGTGAGTGTGTGCAGAGAGGGCCTCTTTTGACGTAGTCAAAACTCCATGCTACAGCATCTGCAGTTTCTAGGCATTTTGTTCAGATATGCAAACTAGGTTGGGCTCCTGGAGCAAATTTCTCTTAAGTTGCTGTTAGATGTAACACTGAATACAGGCAACCTTCCAAGCAAAGCATTGCTTACCCTCAGGAGTACAGCAACGAGCAACAAAAATCATCCCACAACTGCTGCCTCAGACAGAATCACAGGGCTCTCACCTCTTGGGTGTCTTGCAGTACTGGACACTTTTCCAAGGCTTGATCAGATGTGTTTGAAATGTATTATGTTTATCTGGCATACAGTGGGAAAAAACATCCCCAAAGGTTTTAGCACGAATGAAGCCTGTGTTAAAGTTACTGATCCGGTGGTAGCTTTGGTTTGAAAAAAAGGTTTAAACAAATCCAGGTACATGTTGAAGAAGAAATGAAATACAGAGCATTTTCAGGCATAAAGGCATCTTAGGCAATTTTTCTTATCTAGTTGGTATAAAGCACACTTTTTCATTCTCCTTTCCTAATAAAACCAACAAATGTACTTCTCCTTCAACAAACAGTGTAGTTTACAGTGTATACTAAATCCCTTTTACTTTTTTGACCTTCTGAGTAGAGTATGAGGCTCTTGAGTTTGATGCAAACCATCTCCAGCTCTTGACTTGAGACACCTGCATTTAATCTATGAATATTCTCAGAAGTTTTTTATACTCTGCAAGGGAAGGCTGCAATCATGCAACTCAAATGTGATTACCAGCCTAAATCACTCACCAGATCAAACTTGCTTTGAAAGCCTATATCTATCATATGGACTCCTGAACTGAATTCAACTTCTAATTTAAAACTATGAAGCAAGTCAGCAAAAAACAACTGTGACCAGAACAGTCTGTTGACATTCCATATGCACAGAGGTCCTGAAGACACTTAGTACTTGTCTACATTATTGACTGCAATATAACAGAAAAATACTCAAAGGAGAATTAAAGGTACCATTAGCAGTCGTGATGATAATGTGGAGCTCAGAGAAGGCTCATTTATCTAATGAGAAGCAGTTCCCAATATAAACATAGTTAAGAGGTAATGATGAAAACTGAGGTTTGCATGCCAAAACCCACAAGTATATCCAGAGGTTTCCCAGTATAAGTTGGCATTCAATTAACCCAATTACCTAACTTAATGTTCCAGCTGAGCAAAATGCTTAAGGATATTTAGGATACTCTAATGTTACTGAAGTTTACAAAAGTTGGTGGGTGGGAAGTGCTTTAATGAAGAGACAGAAATGAAGCCAAATGTGATCAACATAATTTTCAGTTGAACAAATTTTCAGTTACAACTGGTTGAAAACCCCAGGAATTTCATTCACAAAGTTCTGATGAAAACTAGTTTAAATTCTTATATATGAATACCTAAAGACTGAAGATTGCCTTTTCCTTCTCCCACTTTTCTCCCCTTCTCTCCATTCTCCCTACCTTCACTCTCTTATTTCCCTTTCTTTCCTCTACCTTTTCGGTGGAAAAATGCAAAGGGGAAAGTTGGAGACATTGATTTTATGAAAATATGCAGGAACTTCCTTAAATCCTTTTTCCATAGTTCTTCTTTTAGAGAAAATGCTATTTAACCAAGGAGATTATATATATATAAAACATGACAGGTTTTTACCTAAAGTTTCTGCTAAAACCAGGCATTAACACCCTTCTAGCGAGAAAGTTACATCCAGCCTTTTAAGGCTATTTTCAAGAGATGCCATTTAACTGGATGGCACTAGACTATCTGGAGAGTGGTTAGTTTCCCTTTGAAGAGCCTATGAACAAAAGATGCAATCCTGCAGGTCACAATGTGCCTGCAGAGCTCCAACGAAGGACTGAAGGAAGCTACACAAACTGCAGCTGACCGAGAAACTCTGTTTTAGTAACAACAATCCAATTATTTAATGCAAACAAGAGTTTCTTGGATCCCTCTTTTGCAGTCATCTGACTGCTATATGTCCAGAGCCAGAAGTGAAAGACATGTAGATACAGAGATGCTGAAGTCCAGCACATGGGCAACTCAGGTATTTTGAGGCACACTTGCCACCTCTTTCTGTCAGGCAGCACAGGCACTGCCACGAACACAGTTAATATCTTCTGAGCCTTATTTTAAGGCAAACCCTCAGAGCAGAGGAAGGGGCACCAGGCTTGGTGGCACAGTGTGCTTCTAGACATGTGCATAAGGATGTTGTACAAGTGAATGTCGGGCCCCTGAAGAGACACGTAAGGTGCATCTGAGAGAGCTCTTGTGCAAAGTGGACAAACAACAAGATGGTCTGGGCTGTTAGGGAAAGGGCATAAACAGAACCAGCTGCTGAAGGCCAGAAGAGAAGGGGCAGTTTTTGATCCAGCCTGGAGGAGGGTGGTTCTATTTTTCAACAGCATTTCACAAATACTTCTTTTCTCCTTCCTCTTAATTTTATCCTTGGCTAATTTAGGCTATCTTAGCAATGTCTGCAATCTCCTTCTTACAGCAATTATTTCTTTAAGTCCTTCAAATCAGTACAAATACAATTGCTGAACTCATCACATAAAATACCTCTTTTTTTGCTTTTAATGGAAAAGGCTGAAATAAATTTTTGGAGAACTATCTTTCAAAATTATTTCTAAATGGAGGTCATTTGACAGCACCTCTCTTTCATTCATATCTAATAAACAATAACTTCTCCAAAAAGAAGAAACAGATGTACAATTTTAAAAAATTGTAAAGTTTCTGCTGAGAACACATGAGCTTTAACTTGCCCAGACCCTGACAGAAGTATAGCTGTGCTACTACAACACTCTGATCTGGACCCCCCACAACACTCTAAAATCTTCCACATATGACAGAGAGCCTGTGAAGCACCCAGGCAGGACAAATTTCTTTCTTCTCTATATTCCTAGGGTGCTAGCCATGACCAGGATGAACTGTGCTGCTCTTTTGACAGTATTCATCTCCTCAGATCTACAGTTACTGTTATAACCATAGGAATAGAAGGCAGGCAGACAAGATGATCTCTAGAAATGTGCACTACTACTATTCCTGTTTAGTGACACTTCATGAAGCACTTCAGGTGACTAATTCTGATTATATCTGTGAAATACTGACCCCAGAAGAGTCACTGGTAAAAAAACATGATAGCTGCAACCAATCTTCCTCAGAACAGAACAAAAACACTCATGAAGCCTTATCATTTTATTTATTTCAGTAAAGTTCTCTTAAAACATATTACAATACACTATTAACTGAGGCAAGTATCTAAACAGTCTTTTTAAAACAAGGCAATATTTCAAAATAGGAAATTTCATAAAAAGCACCATTTGAAACTAGTGTAGGTTTCACAGTGTACTGCAATCTGCAGAGAACAGAGGAACATCTAAAATATTGGAATAAACTTAACAAATTCTGCCCAGTTTTGACTTCACAGAAAGCATAAAAAAATGCATAGGTAATAAAATATATTCAGGTAAAATCTTTGAACTTGCAAAATGTTTCACAATACAAAATAATTCAGGTTTTTGTAAGCCAAATCCTTTTTCCTATTGAATGAGTAGCACTATACCACCTAAATTATTTTCCTTCTGTAATGGTCATGTTTTCTATAACAACAGGTTGCCCATTATCTGCAGAATGCAATGAAATAACCACCTGCCTTCCTGGATGTATTAACTTAAACTCCTTCTGTACAGCTAGATTCTACCAGACTCATACTTACTCTGTTACTTTATGAATACTTCCTCTGGAAACACTCTCTAGCAGAAAGGATTGGAGAGACTGTCTGCAGCTATTTTAACCATATTCATAAATGTGGTTGGTATGAAAAGATGCAAAAGAAAAGTTTTTAAATGCATTCTGTACTTCACAGTACTATATTGTGCTATTAACAGAAAGAAACCATATGGGAAAAAATTAATTTAAAAGTTCTAAAGTTGTAAATATAATTAGTAAGATATACTTGTCAATAAGACATGCAATTTATGACAGCAAATGGGATAAGCGCCATAAAAGGAACATTCATTTTGCATTGATTCCTCTTGAACTTTATCTTATTCAGGATCATAGTGCACCACTTAACTTTGCATGGTATGAGGCAATATATATCATTTTCATAGATGCAGAGGCTATATACTATGCCCTTAATTAGGCTATCCTAAATCCACACTGATTCCAACACATTCACTTCAAATTCCTGTTGCTATAACCATGGTCAGTGAGTGACCTCAACTACAGATTCAGGCATTTCCTTTTTTTGAAAGGGAGAGATGCTCTTTTTTGTCATTTGAGGGCCTTATTACAGATGAGTAAAATATTATCAGATGCATTATCACTACCAGATGGATGCAAAATACTGTGTTTCTGCCACTGTGCATCTAAAAGTCTACTCTGAATTTAAGGGCAATTCTGGGCATTCCCAACAGAGTCCTCCAAGAACATTTACTGCATTGAAGAATTCACACTCTGGAACCTCTCTTAGCTGTAATAATGTTCACTTGTACCTTCCTCATAGTTTCTGCATCATTTAATAATGGTGCACTTCAATGTAAGTACCACCACGTGCATAATACAGGATTGGAGCATCATTCTCTTCCCTGTTCAAGCAATTCCACTGATCTCACAATCTCACTCAAATAAAGCATACTCATACAAATCATGCCATTAGATTTGCTATATGCTATATATAGGCAAATGTTTATTACATTCAAGTAACATCTGCACTTTGCTAAAGATGTACCAGCTTATGTTTAACACCACATTCTGATATGTGCTACACAGGTTTAAATCCGGAATGACTCTTAGGGAAGCAACAGCCTTCAACACAACTGCATAGCACAAAACAGAAAGGAAAATAAGGGGTTCTGTTTGTAAGAAAGTGACTTTCTTAACTTCCTCTGAAACAAAAACATAAGTACATAATTTCTAGGTTTCTCTAACATTGTCTTCCCCTGAACTCTTACCTTAGAAATATCCAGGTCTGCTCTCTGCAGAGGTCCTCTTACATCACATGCACCCTTCTATAGAAAGCAGATGGGTATGTCAGAAAACTTTTAACTCCTGTGCCATTTCATCTTTGTTTAGTCTCAGTAGGCTTCCAGAGTGAAGTACCTAGAAAAGCTGCTCTGCTCCTAAGTAATGCAGCTCTTCTGCACACAACAGATACACGTTTTCATTCCCCAAAGTCTGTCTCTATTACTACAAAATATCCCCCATAACAGTATTTTTCAAATGTTGAACACCTTTAATGGTAGTTTTAATTCATCCTTCCTTACGACCTTCTGAGAACAAATGAGACCCTGGCTACAAACAGGCACTGAGATCTCTGTCACAAGAGAGATTTGGGGACACCAGGATGACTGGTTTGTGTACTTGTGCTGGCTGCAACACAATGCCCAGTGAGGTGTCTTGTAATGGACTGCTTAGATTTCGCAGCTGAAAGCAAGAAAAACTACTGTTCTTTATTTGGAGCAGGAGAGCAGTTTGTCCAAAGCCTCCATCCTTGAGGACACTCTTGATGAATAAAAAAGGATGATGGAAAGATAAATTCAGGTGTTAAGGACACAGTTATTAACGTTACAAGTAAAAACAACCACCAGATAGAGGACTTGCAATTGGGTTCATTCTGTTACAGAAAATTATAGCAGAAGGCTATGCAGCAAAATAGTGTGACAAGCTCAAAAACAAATGAAGAGCAAATGTATATTTTAGATACACATACTCAGGCAGACATTTATATTAAAGGTATATCGTGCATAATATTCCTTTTCAGTAAGGTTGATTTAAGCAGCCTGAAAGTGCATTGTTAAGGTCCCTCTTCTATAATTACATTTGTAACACAAATATCTATCCTTTTGTAGGAATGCTGAAAGAAAGCTGGGAAGAAATGTGGCAAGGCATGCCATTTACCCCTAATAAAAGGAATGAGAAAGGAGAGTGAAGCAGCATCTGTGGAGGAGAAAGGAGAAAATGGGACAAAACACTTCACATAGATAAGAAAAAAATAAGAATAATTTGATGGAAAGGTTGGAAGAAGACAAAAATTAGTGTCAATGAATACACATTTTCTTTGAATTAACTGAGGGATTTAACAAAAAAACCCACCTTTTTAAATTCAGCATCTGTTCAGCAAAATAAATAGGCTTTGTGAATAGTGTTCCTTTTGGGTCAGAAAAATATTTTGTTACTTATAAGAAATCGAATAAAAATTTGCCTAATTTTCAAAAGTCTTACTTTCAATACATTCCTTTAGTACTTATTTATTTTTGCCTACCCACTCTTACTTTTTAGGATACACTTCCTTCTCTTCCTGCAACTTTTCACAGGCAAAAGTAAAAACGGGGAAAAGCCTTCCCAGTAATTTAAATGCAGATTATTTCAAAATTAAATTAGAACAGTTATTAGTTCCACTCTTTTTGTTATAATATTCTATTTTCAACCCAGTCAATTTCTATAATATTAAGAATGTGTACTCCAGTGTTGCCATATCATCACCTCTAGTTTGAGGCATGTTCTCTCCATTTATAGAAAGCACATTTTGTAAAATGTAGACAAATTAGACTCAAAGTGCATTTAGTCTTATTATTAGCCTGTTGAGAGAAGAAGCTGAAAGCAGGTTTCCATTGGCTGTGCTGCTTTTGGTTACAGTACTAAAATGTATTTACCCTTACCTGCAATTTTTTGTGGTCCAGAAATAACCAATTTTAAGGGATGGCTTTATTAAAAATAAGAGAGTTTGATCCGAATTCAAGGTTCCCCTGCCTGAGGATGTTAACAGAATTAAAATCTTGGAACACTGAAAGCTTGTGTTTTCTTTAAACACTGATCATTCAATTCAGATTATACTTAAATACTCCTAAAATTGGGAGCATTTTGGCAGGATGATCAGCTCATGTCAACATAGTATACAGTGTCAAATAGATATAGAATACAAATACAATTTAACCCCCAATTCTGTGCTGACTTCATTGCACAGAATTAAGATGAAATCCATAAAATAGACATACTGGTTCCATGTTCATGAGTGATCTGATTGATCCTTCCACGCACACAGTCAAGAGAAACTGATATCAGTGTTCCATTACGTACTCCAAAAGATGCACGGAGGGACACACTGGTCCATATGCTTCCCTCTGGCATCTGACCTCCAATCTGCTGAGCAATTGCTGTGGGTTGCATGTGATCCATGGTCAACTGATTGAGAGTCATTTTGAGTGCATTGCATGAGTGGATTAGCTTTAAGTTAAATGTAAGGCTGGCAACTCCCTTTTCAGTAAAAATAAAATACTTCTGAGCAAGCTGTCCAGAAGAAATCAGCTGTATCTGTTTCTCATTGGATGAGACCTGGGTGAAATCCAGTAATTTGTTTCTCACAGCTCCAGTAGGCAGACCTGTAACAGAAACTGTGGCTGATATGGCACTAGAAACTGCTGAAGGGATCCAAATGAGGCTAAACATACTAATTCCAGAACTATCTCCAAAATACCGAACATTACACTGTGCAGGAGAAAGTATCTCAAAGCTAATCAGATCTCCAGCACCAACTTTCGTGGCCCCAGAGGCAGATATCGACGTGTCTCTGTAATTTACCCCGGATTTAAATACATTCATTAGCTCTCTGTTGGTACCATTCCTATTGATATAAGAAATTAAGGAGAAACCCTCCCGGACACATGTATGACCCATGGAATACAACGCCTGGTGAAATACAAATTTGACAACACCGGTTTCAGTGAACTTTATAGCTCTGCCATCATGAGATAAACTTAGCATGTAAGGGTCAGAAACAGAAATTATTTTAAAGGTAGGTCGATAATTTGTTTGGTAATGCATTGCTGTTGACATCTGTGCACTGAGTGCTACAGCACCTGTGTCATGGGACAACCAAAACAAACTGAGTGGGGTAATAAGATCATAAATATTTAAGTCTTTGCTTTGATTGCAGAATTGATTTGGGCTCCTCAGATACACAGAAAGAGTTTGGCTGGGCTCCACTTCAGCAGCACTGCTCAAACTAGTGCTCTGGAAATACTTTCCTTCTGGCTGTTCAATCCGAACACCACTCAGTTCATAGCCTTCCTCGCTGCCATTGAGCTTTAGGGAAAGTTGCAAAAAATTCCTGCAGCTGTGCTTTACTGCAAAGTTTAGGTCAGTCCACAACAGACCATGTTGCCTGAATACCAGGCTGCCATCTTCAACAGATAGGATTTCACAGGGAAGCTTTCCCTTTATCTTCAAGTTCAAGCCAGAGTAGACCTGAGAGATGCCAGACTTCACAGAGGGTAGAATAATATTTGCAGCCCAAGACTCTGAGAGCTTGTTTTCACCGGTTGCTGAACAAACAGTATCACTGACAGTGGAACAGGGCATGGCCACCATTCCATCTTCACATTTTAAACACGCTTGGCATTCCTGCATTTCCTTATTAAAGAAATAGTCGTCTCCACACATTCCCAAAGCTGCATCTTTCTCAGCAACTCCAAGGCATCGGAAACCACCTGTTCACAGGAAATGGACAGTTTTTATTGTCATACCTTTAAAATACTAAAAATTAGAACTCTATAGCTCCACATATCAAGTATCTTTGATAATGTATCTAATCATAAGGGAGAAAACAGCGGACAGTTATGATGTTAGATAAGTTTATGCTATTAAAGGAACACTGATAGCTGACAGAGAGGAAATATTAGTTATAACTCAGCTTGTCCAAGCCAAGCACAATGGTTCAGAGTGAAAGAGGAGCTACAGAGTGGCAGTTCTAACCAAAACCTGTAATGTATCAGATGCAAAGACAACGCGCTCCAAAGACACTCCCTTCCCTGAGGTAAAAGGCATGGTGACTGAGTGGCCTACTGAGCAGCTCAGATACTTTCAACTAAGGGAGAGTTCCCCCACATGGAGAAATGTGCACTGCCTGCCCAGACAGGTCACAGGGTATCCCTGTGATTGCTAAAGCAGTGCTTTGCAACCAAAGGAACAGGTATCCCCAGCATTCACTCTGTACACAGTTTTTAAAGAACCTGCAAGAGACAAATAGGAAAACCAAAACTGTAAACAGCATGCTTAAAATCAGTCTGCATAAGCCCATGCATTTAAAAAGTGGAAAACCACTGTCCTGAGACACAGGATGCCAACAGTTGTGATAAAGCTAAAATAAAACTGCTGCAAACAGTAAAGGGAATATCTAGACATGCTGTTTGAAATTACTTTATTTGACATAAAGCAATTTTGTGCCTTATGACCTTAGTGGGTGAAAGAATGCACATCCAAAGAGCAAGTTTTAAAAACAGACTGTAATTTTCTATGGCAATTTTCCAAGAGCACTGCCAGCTGCCAGTGCTTCCAGTTGGAGCAATCAGAACCCAAAACCTTTATGTATGGAGCTTTCAGGATCTAAATCAGCAGACAAAATCTGAGGCACCCTAAAGAATAACCACCTGCAGTTTATGCCTCAAAATGTAATCACTAATGCACCCACTTATGCTTTTTGTCACCATAATTATAACTCAGTAATCAGCTTTATTATAGCTCTTCTTAAATATCCTTTACTATCTAAATCCTGTATCATAAATTTGCTTTATTCTTCAGCTGGAAAGTTCCTGTTCCTGCGATGGTATTTCCTCTAAGACTGGGACTACAAGTATTTGATATGGATCCCAACAAGCCACATTTCCCCATTGCTAGCCCCAGGCTGGAGCTGGCTATGCCGACTGCTGATGCAGACAGAAGAGCTCGCCACACATACTGCAGACTGCAAGATAGAGCAGTACACGTGCACTGGGCTCACAGGGGAGGTCAGAATATTGGCCAGAATTCACTAGACACTGAGTTACTTTATACAGGTTTCATATATTCACCCTCATATCACTTTGTCTATTTACATTTAATTCTCTGAAGCGATGACTCTCCACTAACACCAATATGTAGGACTGTACAATTTATGATGTGAAAATACTCTTTCTAAGACCAGGTACCATTTTCTCTGAGCTCACTGCAGAACAGTAAGATATTTTACATTTGATAAAAAGTCAAGAGAAATGTAACACTTTGTTCCCCTCTGCAAGTGTCTGGCTTTTTTATGAGAAACAAAAGCCAAGTAAGTAAGATCACATTTTGTAACTAAGAACATTCTAAAGGGAATACAGAAAAAAAAAATCTCAGACAAACTTTCCCTTTGAAATCAGTTTTAACCATGATGTAAATTGTTCATATGACACTTCTTTACCACGTCTACTTCTCATATCAATAGCTCCACCACCACTGAGAAATAGTGGATGAACTGATACTGAGTACACAAATACAGCTGGTTTGCATGGCAGAGAAGATTTGCAGTAGTGCCTAGAAATCCTTTTTATGCTATTTGCTTCTTTAAAATATTTTAATGTATATTTGAGGATTTTTATAAACATCAAGTTTTACAACTGCATGTGGTGATTACTCACTATAATTTGCTGTCCGGTCTTTTACTGGTTAGATCTGCAGCAGGTGTTCCCCCTGTGTGTGCTTCAAATAGGTGACTTCAAAGCAGCACACAAGCTACTTTATACTATGGACACAGTGGCAAGAGTAACACTCTACACTTTGCCCAGAAGAAGTCAAGCAGCAAATGATAGCCAAACATCAGAAAGCTAGCACAGCAGCATGCTGTGACTGCTTCCTACTGCTCTTTACTGTCTGACAATCTCTCCCACCTCTTCCTGGCTCCTGCTCTGGGCACTGCTCCACCTGGTTTAACAACGAGTTCAACCCAGCTCAACCTGAGGAGCACACTCCTCAGCCCTTGCCACTCATGGAAGCCAGGCAACTGCAAGGCAATTAGAGTAAGCCATACATGTATTTTGCTGCTGTTACTACTCATAACTGCCTGATGCAAAGATGAGATTCAAGAAGATTAATTATGGGAATTCATCTCTTTTTAAACCCTTTACGTCAAATTTGGTTCATCACATATCAACATGGCTTATTATCGGGGCTATCTGTCCAAGTTCCCATTCCTCTTCCCCCTGCATCCCACAGTAAGTTCTACAGTAAGTTCTACAGTAAGTCCTCCTTAGCTAGCATGGCATTCCAGGGAGACTGCCTTTGGTTGACTCTATTTCTTGGACAACAGTTTGACCACTTTCCTGTGATTATCTAAGAAGGAAATGATGCACTGGAGTCCATTTTCACTGACTACATACCTCCAACTGTTATTGAAACTTGATGACTACCATTTAATTAAATAACCTAACAACTCTTACCCCAGCTAAAAGTGAGAAAAAGCAGCAGAGGAAGAAGGTATGATGTAAAGGAAAGTGGAAGGGTGAAGAGGGAAAGGCTCCTAATTGCACATTTTTTGATTGTTATTTGCCCTGTCTCCTCTCATACTATACAGTGAAGATGAGTTGCTACAGATGAAACAACCTTTGCGTGCAGCTCAAGAAAACACGTTCAACATCTGGAACTCATATGTCAGATCACATCTCTATCTTCCCTACATTACCCAAAAGGGACATTCAGTTTCACCCTGCCTTTTAACATGGTAATCACACTTGTAGAAGATAATAAGCTACCACGGCCAGAAAGTAGCAGTTGTCTCTAATAAAAAATAAAAAGAACACTCTCTTCCATGACAGATGGAAACAACATTGACAGGACATTGATTCCTGTGGTGATGGGACTGATTCACAGGTGATGGGAAATAGTTTGTTTTCACATAGTTACAAGCCACCATTAAAACTGGGAGAGGATGAATCAAGGGAAGTGTCCTTCCCTTTCAAATAGATTGCTGCTGCCCTTCTGTGGTCTGACATGCCATCATTACTCATCTGTTTCTTGGCAGTATTTTGCCCTCACTTTCCTCCAGCAGTTGTACAGACCCTCTTGGTCTAGTTCCCCCCTTCCACAGAACCCACTGAATAAATGACTTAAAGCCTTCCCTCTTCCAAGCCACAGACAAGAGCAACACCAAATGACGACCGCATTGGTGGCTCTCCTTTCTTAGGACCAAGCTCTTATGGGCTTCCATCCAAAAACCTACCAATTCAACCAAACCCAACGCCTTACTTAAGAAGAGACAAAGTCTTACACCTTTCCAATGCTCTGATTCAAATATTGGGCCCTAAGCTGTCTCCCCTCTAACTGTTCATCATTAAGACTGTCTAAAAGAGTCTTGCCTCTTTTTTTGGTAAGACTGATGGTAACTCCTCTACAGCATTTACCACATAAGGCAACACTAAGTGCTCTCTTGCTCTAGTCCATTTCCAGTTTCCTGTGGTGTTTTGTACGAACACCACCCAAACCAACACAGTTCCTGCCCAGAGGAAGGAAGTACAATATAAGAGAACCCATGCCCTGTTTTCACCCTTTCCTAGAACCAATTCCCTCCCACATTTTCCCTCCACCAGTGGCTGGGTAGGAAAGATACAAGATCAGTCATAATCAGCTGAAAACAGCCCTTGCCACTCAGAGAGGCCACACTCCTTCTACAAGTTAGAAGTCTAGAGGAGGAAAACCATAAAATCTAATGAAGCTCTCCTTCAGTTATTTGACTGTGAGACTTCAGGTACAGGTCACAGCTGGTGAAATGCTCTGTTTGGTCACAGAGTTCCTTTTGAGCTTTTTTGGCTGAGAAAACTTAGACAAACAGAAAGAAACTTAGTACCTGGATGCAATTTGCTCACTATGTCTATCAATTTTGCTCTTTTGTGTCTGACTGCCATTAGAATACAATGAAGTAATGAAGTTGAAGTCTGCAGAGCAAAACACCAGACAGATCTGTTCTTAAATGTCAGAAAAATTCCCCCAAGCCCATGCAAATGATGGAAACTGTTGATTGTTCCTCAGTATTTGACAATATTGTTGCTAAAGGAGAATATGATTGATGGAAAGAGGCTTAATAAGACCCTTTATGAGATCAAATCAGATATCTACTCCAGTGCAGCAGAAGGAAAATGACAACTATTTTTCTCCATTAGGAATGATATCTTTGATTTTGACTCCATTTGTACCAGCATAAACAAGAAGAAAGTCAGGTCATAAGTGAAAATTAAAACAAAGCACATAAAACCCCATGAAAATAAGGCAAAAGGGACCATCCAATGCTTCCTGTGGATATTAATCCCCTATATAGCCCATCGTCCACAAAAACTGCTACCAGCTTACAGATGAGTATTTTTCAACCCCTTTGATTCCAGCAAGCTGCACATGTCACTACTCATTAACATACAAGTCTGAGTCCTTATCTATTTTTTTGGTCAGTTCCTGAAGATCTAGTTATCTTTATTCTTTAATTATTAGAGAATATAACTTACCTGGAGTATTCAGGCATTTTATCCTCTCACCACAAATGCTTGGAGATTCAGTGCATTCATCTCTGTCCTGTAAATCACAAGATTCATACTGAAACACTATAAAACGACAACTTAAATTTGAAACAGGATTTCTTCAGGCTCTGTGACACCCATCTGCTAGTAAGAGGCATAGGCAGGGATGGAGAACAGGCTGATCCCATAAGCGTGTTGGATCAAGAAAATTTTGATTTGGATATGTCAACTGTTCTATCCAAAAAGACCGTGTGGTATCCACAGAAAGCTAGCAGTGTGCAGATGACGAGCTGAACTGAGTGGTTGCACAAGTAAAGCTTGTTACATTGCACATGCTCCAGAGTGATGCATCACTCAACTGATCTTAATGACACTGTAACAAGTGTTAGGAAAGGCTTTTAAGGACATTTAGTCTGGGAGGAAGGTGCTAACCAAAAAACACACGTGAAAAGTAAATGAGAAAGTATTATCTCCTGTCAACAAGCCCTCCTTTCACCTTACAGCAGTCAGAGAGGAAAGAATAACAGGCTACATTTGTATTTAAATGCTAGCACTAAAGAAAACTGAGACGAGCTCTGGACAGACACTTTCAGGTTCTCAGTATCTTGGGCGTAGGTCACTGGCTGGTCAGGTCATGTTAAGCTAAGAACTGGGGGCAATACTTGGCAAACAAGATACTGCTTTAAATATCAAGTTTCCCATATATATTAGAATTTCTAAATTACAGAAAGCGAACAAAGAACCATTTTATTTTGCTTACTTGCTGGTTTTATGTTGTATAATAAAATGTGTTTAACAATAGAAGCGTCTGTTCTATATTTGTATATGTTTGCATGTTACGTTTCAGCAGGAACTAGTTCTTACATTTGTTTTAACTGACAACTTCTGTTTCCAAACCTATAAATAAATGTCTGACTTATAGCTTTGCTTAGTAAAGCTTTCCTTTGCTTTCCAGAGATGTTTAGAAGTTCCTGTAGAGTGGAGTGGGATTAAACAAACAAATTTAGCATGCAGAAGTATAAATGTTTTAGGATGCCTTTTCCCACCATGATGAAAAGAATCAAAGTTCTGCCAGCTGCCAGGTTTGGGAAAGTGTCACACCAAACTGGCACAAACTAGTGTCTTATTTAGAGCAGTAAAAACTAAAGAGAAAGCTCAGAAAAAAAACTTCTGGCAGACTTTGAAGTGCCATAGACCCGTTCAGTGAAACACATGCTCCAAACTGGATCTCTGCAGCTCTCCAAGTAGTTATTTCCAGAATGTTATCCCAGTATGTCAAACCCAAAACTTCATAAGCAATAACTGAAAGATACAGAATTATGTTTCACCTGGCAAATCCGATCAGAGTTTGCAGAACACTCGGACATTTGGAAAAAACCAGCAGGACACAATGTGCATTTCTCACATTGTGAAGGTGTCTTTTGGAAATTGCAAAATTCATCACTTTCACAAAGGCCACAGTCCAGCAAAGACTCCCCAACATTAATCACTTTTGCATCCACTTCCACTTTATGCACAGAGTATGACTTCTGGAGATGATTTCTGACCTGGTTCTGAAGTCCTTGAAGATGACTTTCAAAATAATTTTGAATATCTTCTTGCAAACTCTGAAATGACACTTGTTTCACCGTATCAAAAAGCATGCCATACTGGACTTTGATCAAATCCATTTGCTCATACATTTTTCTTTGCTGTTCAAGAATCTCCTGTTGCTGTCTAACCAGTACATGCTGCTGCTCAGCAAGTTTTTGCTGCAAATCGACAATGATCTGCTGTTGGCTTTTTAGCATTTCAGTAAATTTCTCATGCCCTTTTGCAAGGTGCAGTTGTAGTATTAGGGCATCTTCAGATGGAACTTCATTTTCTCCTGAAATAAAAATGATTGATTATTGTCCAAGCTTCCTGTATTATCTCTTCAAAAGCATTCCAGTTTTAGTACGTCAATGAAAAGTTGCACTAAATTCAAGTCATGATTATAAGGCCAGTTCCTTTACTATCTTTGTAGCCACTTCAAGGGACCACAAGGTCTTCCACTTCATAAGCGACAACATTTGCCCCTGCTTCAGGGAATAAATTAATCATCACTGGGGTTCAATACAGATTAACCATTCCTACGTACATGGTCAAATACAGTAAAGACTAAATGGCCAATTTTCACTGCAGAGGCGATAAAATGTGGTGATAAAACTTGCTGCAAATACTAAGCCATTAAGGGTAGTAAAAGTAAGGGTCAATTGCAAAAAGCTGCAAAAGCAGTCTACAATACTGAGCAGACACAATAAAATGACAAAGAAGAAACACAAAGGAGATAAAGGTGAAATAAGGCACCCACTGAAAAAAAAATTCAAAGTTTTTTATGTCAGATGTTGTACTCATAGATTATTATTACCCCTTGGAAATGATCTTGAAGTAATACATCCAGATATAGATGTTGGGCTACAGAGTCATGTAATCAGCAGTTCAGTGCCCAACAGAGGTCAGAAAGGCAAATAAAATGCTAGGATTTATTAGAAGAAGAATACATAACAGAAGGTAATATATCATTACAATATTACAATAATCAATAGAGCATCTTTAGCACAGCATGCAGTCTTGGTTCCCCATCTCAAAAAGGAGTAAAAAAGAACTCAAAAGATTCACAAAAAGGGCAGCAAGGAAAATCTAATGTATGATACCACTACAGTATGGAAAAGTAGGTAAGACTTTCCAAGATCAACTTAAATAAAAAGAAACTAAACAACTGTGCTATATTAGAGGTAGTGTGTAATCAAGCAAGTGGATATGGAAAGACTCTTTATTCTTTCTTCCAAAACAAGAATTAAGGGACACTAAATGAAGGCAGTAGCTTCCATACATGTTGAAACTTCAATCAGTTCCAGAAAGCTGCTGGCCCAATATATTAGATAAAAGCATTCTGAGGCTAAAATATACACTGACATCAACCAGATTCAGGAAATCTACACAACAAACTGTTGGAGCTGGGAAAATGATTGAGGAAAATATCATGCCACACATTCCACAGTATCTGCTGCTGGACCCTGCCTGAGACCATCCTGAATCCAAACACTCACACATCTGTTTTTACGCAGCTCTGATTTATCTTTTTATAAGTGCAGAACATGAAAGATAAGACAATGAAAAAAGACCGTAGGCAGCTCCTGTTTACAGTTCCCAAATTATTTTACTGTACAGTTCCCAAATTATTTTCATTCACAGCATAAGGCACACAACTTTTATTTCTCAGTATGAACTTTAATATTAATGCAGTTTGCAGAGTATTGGATTTGAGAAAACAAAGACCAGGATCTAGGAAAGGCCACACTTCCCATTCAAGTTGGAAATTTCAAAATATCTGCTAAGTTATACCCCCGTACCTCCTTCTGTCTAGCATTAACAAGTAGTTCTGTGAAAAGCAGGAACACTGTCATCTGATTCTCTGTGAATTTGTGTCCTCCGTTTGACTGGCTAAATAAGTAGCACTACCTTTGCTCAGTGGGACCAGTAACAATACCATTTTGAATGATTAAGACATCACAAATTTATCCACAGGGAGAAGAGAGATGGGGTTATTGGGTTCTTCTCATCCTGGCAGTCTGGGCTTTTCCACACACACAAGCAAAGCTATTAGAGCAACTGAAGGTTAACTAAAGCTCTGATTCAGGAAGAAACATAAAGTAGAGCTTTATTTTTAATCAGATACTTAAGGAGTGTTGTCTTCAACCAGTAAGTGTCTGACTTATTGGCATTAAGGACAGCTATAATTTTAAGTACTGACTGCAATGAAGCTTACTCACTTGATGGCCCAGATTTCTATTATCTCTGCCCTAAATGGCCTTCCACAACTTTGTAACAATGGATACATTCCAGTCAGTCAATTTAGCTTTGCTCCTTTCTCTGTCTAAAGCTCAGCTGGAGAGAATGTGAGGCCTAAAAAATGCATTGAGTGGCTTTTTTCTACCATTTTTATCCATTTTGCAGTATTATGACTAAACTTATACTCACCAGTACGAGAGGCCCTTCACTGCTACTGGCAGTTCACAATGCCAGACCAACAGAGAGCATTATAAAGCTCTTGCAGGAAAGGGAAGGCTTTACTGAAAATAAACTACATTCAGTTAAGCAGAAGGGTTATCTTGTTTGCCAAAATAATTCTGAATAAGAAATCTAAAACAACTCAGATGCTGAGTGCCCTATTTTTCCCATTAAGTATATAAAGATAAGACATGCTGAACATGTCAGATGGGGCTGTCCCTATCACAGATGTCTAAAATTATGAGGAGAATTCCACTGCAAGTGATGTTTAGTCACTAGCAGATTCCAGTAATCCCATCTTTCCACATTTCCCAGACAAGCATCAAACAGGTACACCCACTCGCAACACGCAGATGTGCCCAATACCACAGATACAGTATCATTTTCCTTGCACACACGTCACACAGCCATGGCAAGGCCTGTTTTGCAGACATCTGCCCCATGCTTTCAAGATCAATCCATGCTGCAAATACATCACATATGAATCTCTGTTACATTTCCCTGGTATGCCTGGAAAGGACAGAACATCCTGAGGGCGTGTTCTATGGACAAGGTATCCCTCAGACACAATCTGCCACTGCACAAGGGGCAGAGGTTAAAAGTACTGTGAGGAAGGGGAGATTTTCATTGGCACCCAAGAGCACACAGACATCTGACCTTGACAGTCAGTCCTGGAAACCACAGGAGATGAGAGCAGTGGGTTGCAGGCACTACTCAGTGCACAGACAGTAACAGCATGAGAACCTACAACCTTCTTCAATCATGTTTGGCAGGTATCATGGCTGCACATTATTTTGCCGAGATGCAGGGGTTTGCAGCTGCAGAGAAGTCTGCTCAAAAGAAAACAACAGAAAGATGGGTCTGATAGGAAAAAATGAAGGATTTAATGACAATTATTGAGTGAGGAGGAATACAAAATGGTAAGATGACAAAAAACAGTTCCTGTGTACTCCTTCTTTTGGGATGCCAGTCTTTCATCTGAAGTAAGGTGTACTCACAGTGATGTTGAGAAAAAGCAGGGACAATTTGCAGAGAAATGGGCTCATCTGATGGGAGTACAAGTCTGCACTCCAGCATTTTCACTTGGCCAAGGGACGTGGTAGTTCAGCTGCAGTTGGCAGGAGTGTTCCAGATAGTAGCTGTGGTCCTGGTGATACTGGCTGAAAAGATGATGATGATGCCTCTATGACCCCCACAGATGGGTTGTGCTGGCTCTGTCAGGCAGCTGGTGGAGAGTAACAGTCACCTGCCTCCTGTAGATGAGCCTGCAAACACAGATACCATGCTGGGAATCAGCTCGAGCCCTGATAATGGTCAGTATCTTGGAGGTCTTCAGTTCATCTACTTCCAAGCCCCCGGCCATGGGCAGGGACACCTTTCACTAGACCAAGAGCCCCATCCAACCTGGTCTTGAACACTGCTAGGAATGGGGCACCCACAGCTTCTCTGGACAACCTGTTCAGTGCCTCACCATTCTCACAGTAAAGGATTTCTTCCTTACATCTTATCTGTTTCAGTTGAGAGCCATTCTACCTTGTCATGAACATCACATGCTGTTTGGGTCACTGCTCTCCCCAGACAACAGTAAATGCATTTCCCCTAATTAGAGATCTGATTATCACCTTTTAACTTTTTGTTTTAGTAGAAGTAGCTGGAAACTACAACTTACAAAACTACAAACCATGCTGATTTCCAAGAGCAGCTGGAAATGGGGATTGAACAAGGAATTCTCTACAATGCTACAGGGAACTCAGTGACATGTGTTCAAAATAAGATTCCAGGCAAATGCAGAGAATGTTAGAGGTTGCAAACAGAGTAGAACACTGGATGCTTGCCTGTACACTGACTTGATGGAAACCAAAGACTGTCAACATGGCTTATTTTTTTGTTCCTCATGCCAAATACATGGAATTTCTGCTAGATGCTGATGAATCCAGTATGATGTTCTTCCACTTCTAGGAGAGAAAGCTGCCTTGTGAAGGTCTGGATCCAGTCTTTGGAATGGGCAAAGCATACCTCTACATCCTTTGTCCAGTCTGGAAAGAAGTACAGCAAGACTTATCCTCACCAACTGCAGCAGTTGGCAACACAAGATAACAACAGTGAGTGGGGAGAACTTCTGAGGGTGCACCTGTCCTCATCTGAAAACTCACACATAGAAGCTCATGTGTTACGACAGGTTTGCTCAGTGTGTGCTTCCATGCCAACAGTGCCTTCCATGAGATGACGTGGTTCAGTGGGCAGTGCTGTACACTGCTTTCTCTCCAATATCTAGGACACTTCTCTCTGCCAAAGGAAGATGAATGCACAAATCCATGACTGCCACTGGCCATAATCCGTTCTTGAAGCATTCAAGGACTTTGTTAAGGGAAACTTCTAACTACACTTTTGTTCCTCCAAGACTTCACCCGGCATCAGGTCTACAAAGAATATAAAATGGAATGAGTATAGTGAACTCTGTGCTAAGTCTCCAAAATCCTGAACATCTTCACACTGTCCCTTTAGCTTTAATTTCCTCTGACCCACATCACAAGGGACAGAGGACCTAACCTTAAGACCAAGGAGATGAGAGATGCATGTAACTTACCATGTTAGCTGGAAGGGCTGGTGGTACTGGAGACTGGGCAGCACAGATTGATCCGAGTCTTCTAAAGACAGCCAAAGAATAAGAGGATATTTGGAGAAAAAGGTCACGCTGAGCTGGGTGTTCTTTGTAAGACCTTCATGGAGATACAGCATGTCTGCTTTCAGCACCATCCAAAAGTATTACTCTTTTCTGTCTATTCAGAATCCCCTTATTATTTGCCAAGGCTTGTATTACACAGAAAAGG